CTAGATATTCTGCTTATTGACAAAGGGACGTGCACCTTTGTTGTTCTAGGTGCAACAATTACTACACAAGAGGTGGGTGCCTTGTACGTCTTCCCATTATTCTTGTCATTCCCAAAGGGGGGGGTGCTCGCGAGGAATTCCAGATTCTTGCTTTTTCCAATTCTTTATTCTCCAAATTGGGGAACTTTCAGATTCATTGTCTCTAACTACGCTACGTACAATATGCCCAATTATTCCCAACGGGACGGGTCCCTTTTGAGGAATTCCAGATTCATTTTCTAGTCTAGCACATCTACTCATGAACTTATTATAATCATTCTTCCCAAAGGGACGTGTGCCTTTAGGGAATCTCCAGATTCATGTGTGTTCTAATCTTTCGAGTTTATTCTAAATGTTCTGTTGTTTCTTATTATTCCCAAGGGGGCGGGTGTCTTTGAGGAATTGAAGATTCATGTTTTGCATACTAGCCTACTTATCATCGCCATGATTTCTCCTTATTCCAAGAGAGGCGTGCGCCTTTTGGGGAATTCCAGGTTCATAGCTTTTTTCTGTTGCTTCTACTTCTGATATATTTTTCTCATGATTATTCTCATTCCCAAAAAGACGGGAATTCCAGGCTCTTGTTTTTGCAACTCGTCATTCCCAAATTTGGTGGAAATTCTGACTCATGGTCTCTCTCTTATTCAACTTCAGGTGTTTTGGAACTACCCGCACTTTTCGAGTATCGCCAACGGGGCGGCCCTTTTGAGGATTCCAGATTCATTGTCTGCTACACTATTCTACTTCTTATGATCAGTCTTCTCAATGGGACAGGTGCCTTCTGGGAATCTCCAGGTTCATGTGTGTTCGATTATTCTAGTTGTTCTATCTGCTCTAATTTTCTAACTACTCCCACAGGGACGGGTGCCCTTGGGAAATTGAAAATTCATGCTTGGGAAATGTTGTCTACTCATCGTAGCTATTATAATGAATATTCTTTTTCCCAGAGGGACAGGTGCCTTTTGTTGAGCTCCAGAATCATGTTATTTTTTCAATGTTTTTAATGATTCTAGTTCTGATAACTGCTCTATTTATTATTGGCATTCTTAAAGGGACAGGTGCCTGTGGGGAATTCCAGATAATTGCTTTTCCAATTATTTATTCTCCAAATTGGGGAACTTTCAGATTCATTGTTTCTCTAACTATTCTACGTACAATATGTTCTGTTCTTGGGCGTGCCCACATTATTCCAATTATTCCCAACGGGACGGGTCCCTTTTGAGGAATTCCAGATTCAATCTACTCATAAACTTATTATAATCATTCTTCCCAAAGGGACGGGTGCTTTAGGGAATCTCCAGATTCACGTTTGTTCTAATCTTTCTAGTTATTCTACATGTTCTGTTGTTTCTTATTATTCCCAAGGGGGCGGGCCTTTGGGGAATTCAAGATTCATGTTTTGCATATTAGCCTACTTATCATCGCCATGATTTTCTCCTTATTCCAAGAGAGGCGGGCGCCTTTGGGGGGATTCCGGTTCATTGCTTTTTTCTATTGATTCTGCTTCTTGTTCTGATCATTCTCATTCCCAAAGGGACGGGAATTCCAGGCTCTTGTTTTTGCAACCGGACATTTGGGGAAATTCGGATTACTACCCGCGTTTCCAATTATTGCCAACGGGGCGGGTCCCTTCTACTTCTTATGATCAGTCTTCTCAAAGGGACAGGTGCCTTCTGGGAATCTCCAGGTTCATGTGTGTTCGATTATTCTAGTTGTTCTAACTGCTCTAATTTTCTAACTACTCCCACAGGGACGGGTGCCCTTGGGAAATTGAAAATTCATGCTTGGGAAATGTTGTCTACTCATCGTAGCTATTATAATGAATATTCTTATTCCCAGAGGGACAGGTGCCTTTTGTTGAGCTCCAGAACCATGTTAGTTTTTTCAATGTTTTTAATGATTCTAGTTCTGATAACTGCTCTATTTATTATTGGCGTTCTTAAAGGGACAGGTGCCTGTGGGAAATTCCAGATAATTGCTTTTCCAATTATTTATTCTCCCAATTGGGGAACTTTCAGATTCATTGTTTCTCTAACTATTCTACGTACAATATGTTCTGCTCTTGGGCGTGCCCACATTATTCCAATTATTCCCAACGGGACGGGTCCCTTTTGAGGAATTCCAGATTCAATCTACTCATAAACTTATTATAATCATTCTTCCCAAAGGGACGGGTGCTTTAGGGAATCTCCAGATTCACGTTTGTTCTAATCTTTCTAGTTATTCTACATGTTCTGTTGTTTCTTATTATTCCCAAGGGGGCGGGCCTTTGGGGAATTCAAGATTCATGTTTTGCATATTAGCCTACTTATCATCGCCATGATTTTCTCCTTATTCCAAGAGAGGCGGGCGCCTTTGGGGGGATTCCGGTTCATTGCTTTTTTCTATTGATTCTGCTTCTTGTTCTGATCATTCTCATTCTCAAAGGGACGGGAATTCCAGGCTCTTGTTTTTGCCTTCGGACCGAAAACCGCGCTCAACGGCGTGCGCGTTTTCAGTTCGTTGGCAGAAATCAGAAGCATCGCTGATCAGCACACCCGCTCACGATTACCCGTTCAGCACTGCAGTCATGCCTGCCACATGATCAGCACACCCGCTCACGCGTACCCGCTCAGCACTGCAGTCATGCCTGCCACATGATCAGCACACCCGCTCACGCGTACCCGGTCAGCACTGCAGTCATGCCTGCCACATGATCAGCACACCCGCTCACGCGTACCCGCTCAGCACTGCAGTCATGCCTGCCACATGATCAGCACACCCGCTCACGCGTACCCGCTCAGCACTGCAGTCATGCCTGCCACATGATCAGCACACCCGCTCACGCGTACCCGCTCAGCACTGCACTCACCCACCCAACCTACCGACCAACCAGCCACCCAGCCAACCAAGCAGCTAGCGACAGCATGGCCACAACACAGCTCGCAATTTGTTTTCCCTTGACAGCCTTCGGCTGCGCCGGCCGTCCTGGAGGTACACTCAGCGAGGCCCACGTCTTCTATGTGGAGGAGAACTTGCTGTTCTTGCTGGAGCAGGTGCCTGGGTGGTGGGGGCGTTCACGCGCTTACGGTGATTGGTTGGCGGTTTTTTTTCACCAGGTTCTACACGCTGCTTCCGGTTGGCGGTTGTATTTTTGATGTGGCGGTCACTGGACGCTTGCAACCCATGTTGTTTGGTGCTGCGTTGTGCAAGATTGACTTTGAAGTTGATTGGCCGGGGCCGAATCACAAAGCAGCTCGAATTACTTGCGGGCTGGTGTGCGAGCCATGACAGAGCACGCGCGAGATCGCACGCCCATACGCAGCAGACCTCATGCCGAGTTGCCGCTCGGGGCTTTTCTTGGCATGTCTTCCTGCAGCTTTTTCGACCGTTTTTTTTACTCATTGGGACCATGCTATGCAAGACATGTCATGTTTTGACATGCGTTGCGCCAAGGACGCTGGATGATTTGCATCCGACCATCCAAATTTTTGATTCGCACCTTGCAGAAATCAAGCACGTTTTTTTGGGAGTTGGTTGCTTACGTGAGCTTAGGGGGTCATGTGGGCGGTGTAGACGTCAGCTAAGTTGCTAACTTGTTCTAGCCCAGGCCGGAGCCACCGTCGCGTGCTCGCACGCTGCATGTGGAGCCACAGCCTGCGTCTTCGGGGACGCAGCGCGATGAGCGCCGGAAGCCGCAGCCAATCGCAGACTTGCCCCAGGAACTCTTAGCTCCTTGCAGGGTGGCTGAGTGTGCGCGCGCCAACGGTGCTGAGGACATGCGGGTTTTGTTGGCCTTGAGGCCGTTGCTTGAACGTGAACAACCTCTAGTGCACGTGCCAACACAATGGTCAGAGAATGGGAGCAAGCTTGCTTTCCTGAAAGCTGTCATCACCATGGCCGGCATGACTACGAGGGCGTACACGCTGGCTGGGTACGAGGCTAAAGCACAAGAAGCTCTACTGGCCCTGGCCCAGGCAGAACAGGAAACGCTGTGGATTTACGGGAAGATGGACCTGGCCTTTGCTTGGAAGCAGTGCATTGACAGAGCTAGGGCCCGCCTATCTCAACAGCAGCTTGCCGACGCACACTCGCTGGAGCCGCGTGAAGATGTGTCAGGGCAACTTCGACAGACCTGTTTGCCAAGCTCCATGGCTGGTCAGCCGCAAGCTCTTGCTGCGCCGGCTGTCAAGTCCCGGGCTGAGGGGGCATGGCAGCCGCCGCCGCCAGTGGGCTTTCCTGCTCGCCCATGGAAGCAGATGCGTTTTTCCAGTGACAGAGAAGGACGTTCTGGTTTTGGACTGGAGCGGTAGAGTAGTTTCTTGTACAGGTGCTCAAAACAGCATATGCGGTTCGCTGCAAAAGGCTTTGCCATTGCGTGGGGAGTGCGCAGTGCGCTTGCCACATGCCAAGCCAAGCAAACCATGTGCCAGTGCTGTGTGACGCATCCATGAAGCTTCGGTTGTTCAGGCTCAGCGATACTTGTTGCACAGATTGCAGGCTTGCGCCATGTTGCCTCATACTCCACATGGGCTACCACGGGATGGTGTGGTGTGTGACTTGGTGGCCACCATCCACGTGAGCACCCATCTTTACGGCGCAGTTCAGCACTTGGAAGAGGCCATGCTGCACTTGGATGTGTGCAGTGACCCACGTGTGCGAGCATTTGACGCACGCCTAGAGGAAGCGCGTGCCCAGTTAGAGCGCTTGCTCACGTTTCTCCATGTAGAGCAAAGTCGCCTCAGCGTGCAAATTTCTCGCAGGCTGGAGAACGAGCATGCAGATGTGTAGCCAGATTTTGTGAGCAGTTTGTTTGTGTGAGACAAAAACACGAGCCCCCCTGAGTCCGTGTTTTCGTTGCTTCTTGAAATGCACGCAGAGCTTTACATGACGTGTTGGCGCAATGGCTCAAACAAATCACAGGATGTGGCAGCATTTTTCCATGTAGTTGCTGCGGGAATGCATGTGCTTGTAGGTCTAGCATGAAGAAGGCATCGGCCAAGAAGGCCAGGGGCAAGAAGAAAGTAGTCACCAAGAGAGAGCGCGCTGCTTCTGGGGCAACGAAGAGGAGAAGCGCTGGAACCAAACTTGAGCCGACCTGCGCCATATGCCAGAAGGGGGCGCACTACTCAAGCACGTGCCCCTTGCTAGCGCAGAAGCTGCTGGCCGCTGTCCGGAAAGCCGCGAACACCAAGCAGATTGCTGAGTACTTGGCTGCCAACGACAAGGCGTTTGTACAGGGCATGACCGGTAAGCCCCTGAAGACGCTCAAGCGCCGGAGCCGTGGCAAGCCGTGGCACAAGACAACCGCGACAGTGAAGAGCCGCAAAGTGCGCAAGGTGGCGGCCAAGAAGAGCCATGCCGCGAAGGACAAGCTGAGGAAGCCCAAGCCGGTGAAGCAGAAGGCCAAGCTGCCTGTGACACGGAAGAGCACCGAGGCAGCGTACCGCTCCTTGAAAAGGAGACAGTGGGCCTGGAAGCCTGGGCCGTGTAACGCCTGCGCCGGGGAGCTCGTTCTGCAGAGTTGGAAATCGTGTCAGTGCCGGGGCTTCGGCCGGCTATTCTACCGGTGCGAAGACTGCCAAGAGTATTTTGACGTACTTTCTTTCTCACACCTTAGAGTTTGCCGCATGCCGCTGGCATGGATTTCCAAAGCCGTGGAAATGCATTTCCAACAGAGCCCTCCCCAATCTGCTTCGAACATTGGCCGTGCCATTGGCGCCAGTGCTACGCCGGGAGGACGGGCTCAGGGGTGGTAACATTGACCGATAACCACCTTCCTTCCGACAATCATAGCAGCTGACAAAAGGGGTTTTCTTGCTAGAGCCTGCCGCGCCAGGACCTCTTTGCTCTTTGCTGCACATTCTGATGGGCCACGAGAAGCGATGCGCGGATGAGTTCCAGCAGACGTGCACGCTGGCTGGCCTGGTGGAGGCCGACGGAACTTCCATTCGGAGCTTCAAGCAGGGAAGCGCCCTGGTGTACAGGCAGCTGTATGGCATGATTGCAAGGAAGGATGTGAAGGCTTGGGGTCAACATGTCGGGTGTTGTTTCATGGTTTCCCCTCCTTTAGACGTGGTCTTGATAGCTTTGAGACTAAAGGCTTTTTAAGTGCTTCCCTCTTCAGTGTTTCTTTTTTGTTGCAGCTTAAGAAAAAAAGAAAACACACACAAGATACTGTTTGCCAAAATATACACCCTGCAGAACCGGAGACAGTGCTTGATATGGGACATCGGCGAAGCCAAGAGCCAGTCCGAGGGCAAGCCGCCCCCCGAATCGTTTGCCAAGATCCAACGATGTGGTGCCTTGCAACACCTGGCTGTCACTGAAAAGGTCTCAGGCAAGCGTTCCCGTAGAACGATGCTTTTGACTGATGGCGCAAAGTGCTATCCCAAAGTCTGTGATCAAGTGGGATTGCTTCATGAAGCTGTGAATCACAGCAAAGGCGAATTCGTTCGTGAAGTTCTAAGGGGTTCTGAGAAAGTCTCCTGCCACACTGGCACCATTGACGCGACCTGGACAGCATGCAAAGCATATGTCCCGAATTCGCTGTCTTCGCAATCGCCGCTGCTGTATCTCTATGTAAAGTCTTGGCAGTGGCGGTACATCTTGCGACAGCGAGATGTGGAGACGCAGACTGTGCGAGCCCTGCGCCGCAGGTGAAAACGGCAAGGCAGCAGAGTGGGCGAGATAACTCGCGTTTCGCCTAGGCGAAACGCAAAACGCATGAAAAACTGACCCCTGTTTTCGGCCTCGTTTTTGGGGACACAGTAAGCGTTTCGCCTAGGCGAAACGCAAGTTTTTTCCAGAAATGTGGCTAACCGCAAGCGCGGTTCTCGGTCCGCCGGGTTGTTTTTGCAACTGGTCATTCCCAAATTCGCGGACATTTGGGGAAATTCGGATTACTACCCGCGTTTCCAATTATTGCCAACGGGGCGGGTCCCTTCTACTTCTTATGATCAGTCTTCTCAAAGGGACAGGTGCCTTCTGGGAATCTGCAGGTTCATGTGTGTTCGATTATTCTGGTTATTCTAACTGCTCTAATTTTCTAATTACTCCCACAGGGACGGGTGCCCTTGGGAAATTGAAAATTCATGTTTGGGAAATGTTGTCTACTCATCGTAGCTATTATAATTATTATTCTTAGTCCGAGAGGGGCAGGTGCCTTTTGTTGAGTTCCAGAATCATGTTTGTTTTTCAATGTTTTTAGTGATTCTACTTCTGATAACTGCTCTATTTATTATTGTCATTCCCAAAGGGACAGGTGCTTGTGGGGAGTTCCAGATTCTTGTTTTTCAATTTCTTCATTCCTCAAATTGGGGAATTTCAGACTCATAGTATCTCTAATCCTTCTACTTCAGAAATTTCTGTTTTTGGAAGTACCCGGATTATTTAAATTCTGCCCAACGGGACGGGTCCCTTTTGAGGAATTCCAGATTCATTTTCTAGTCTAGCGCTACTTATCAACTTGTTATAATCATTCTTCCCACAGGGACGTCGTTCCCAAAGGGACGGGTGCCTTTGTGGAGTTGAAGATTAATGTTTTGCAAATTAGCCTACTTACCATTGCTATTTTTGCTTCTACTTATTCCAAGAGGGGCGGGTGCCGTTTGGGGAATTCCAGGTTTATAGCTTTGCACCTTCTGATAATTGCTCTATGTATCATTGTCATTCCCAAAGGGTAGGGTGCTTTTGGGGAGGTCCAGAGTTCCACATTCATGTTTTCCAAACAATTACTTCCAGGGAGGGGGAGAATTCCAGATCCATATTCTTGCTAATGATTGTACTTATCATAATGATTTGATTTAGTCCAATGGTTCCCAACGAGATGGGCCCCTTTCAGGAATTCCAGATCTATTATCTAACCCAATGATTCTCATGGTTCATATTCTCAAAGGGACGGGTGTTTTCTGGGGAGTTAAAGGTCAATCGCTTGGTACTTTCTGAAGGTCAATCGCTTGGTACTTATTCTATTTCTCAACGTTGGTCTAATTAGCCTAATTACACGAATCTTTGAGAATCGTGTCAATTTGGAAAACAGCACCTTATTTTGTCTAACTATTATTAACCAACATGATTTGAACAACTAGTCTACTTAGAATATGCCTTATAAAAGCAACATGCTTTCTACTCGAATATGTTCAAAGGGACGGGCGCCTTTTGGAGAACTCCAGATTCATTTGTGTCCAACGTCCTAAATAGTTAGAACAAATGAACATGTTTGGGTAACTAAATATTTAGATATTTCACACAATTTAAACAAGTTCAAGGGCACCCCCTGGGCTAGTTCCGAAAATAAAATTTTCCTAATGAAAAAGTTCAAATAATTCCAAAATGTGAACTGCTTATTTTGATCAAATTGTTGGAGGCCCTGAACAACATATCTGTTCAAATAATCCAAGTTATGTCCAGGGCCCTTCCTGGGCCCATTACAGAATATCTAAAGAATCTGGGTGTCTCGAATTCAAACAATTCGACATTATGGAATGTACAAATGTGCTTCTTAGCGCATTATTTGTTGGAGGCTCGGAACGAAAAGGTTTAAGTCATTTAGATAGTTCTACGAATTTGACTACGCGTGCTATTCAATTTGTTGGAGCCCTGAAAAAGACATATCCTGGGCCCTCCCTGGGCCCGTGCGGAATACTCAAAGAAGATAAACCTTCAATCCTTTTGGCGGCCCCTGAGAAAGCATTATAGAGATGTTTTTGTTCAAATTCTGGAGGCATCCTTTTTAAATATGAAAATTGAATCATTTCTAGGGTTCTCCCTGGGCCAGTTCCATTCTGTTTAAACAACCTAAAAAATCAGATAATTTAAGTATTTTGTTTTTAATTTCTGGAGGCCTCCAAAAACCAACAAAGTATCCAGGGTTCTCCCTGGGCCAGTTCCAGGATATTTAAAAAAAATAAACATGTCAAACAATCTAAAATTGTTTATCTTCTAATTTTTAAATTTCTGGAGGCCTCCATTTTTTGTACAAAAACAATAATTAAATTCCAGGGTTCTCCCTGGCCAGTTCCCGGATATTTAAAAAATATAGCGTTTGTTTTTGTAGTTATTTGTTCTTAAATTTGTAGAGGCGTCTAAAAAATAGGTTTCCCTGGCCAGTTCCCGGATATTCAGCAAGATTGAAAAATAACAAGCAAAACAATAAACATTCATTTATTAAAATTTCTTAACTTTCTGGAGGCCTCCATTTTTGTTTTTTGAGGAATATCCCGGGTTCTCCCTGGGCCAGTTCCAGGATATTGGAAAAAGTTGAAAAACATGAATAATTTGAATAATTAAAAAGATAATAAGTCTTTATACTTAATATAGATTCTTTTAATTTCTGGAGGCCTCCAAAAAACTAAAAAATAAAAAAAAAGTAGTTTCCCGGGCTCTCTCTGGGCCAGTTCCAGGATATTGAAAAATCAAGTAATTTAAATAGTTCAGGTAATTTAAATATTTATATTATTTTTTTAGAATTTCTGGAGGCCTCCAAAAATATTAAAAAAAAAACGGTACATAGGTTCCCGGGTTCTCTCTGGGCCAGATCCGGGATATTTAAAAAAATCAAAAAATCGAAACAAATAAATAAGTCAAATCATAAAAATATTTATATTTTTTATTTTTTTGAAATTTCTGGAGGCCTCCAAACATTTTGAATTAAACATATAAATAGTTTCCCGGGTTCTCTCTGGGCCAGTTCCAGGATATTTAAATAATTTACAAAAATCAAAAAACATCAAATAACTTAAATATTTATTTTTTAAACTTTTTGAATTTCTGCAGGCCTCCATTTTTTGTAAAAAAAAACAAAAACAGAAAACAAATAGTTTCCGGGTTCTCTCTGGGCCAGTTCCAGGATATTTAAAAAATCAAAATACAAAAATTAAAAAGAAATTCAAATAATTTAAATATTTATATTTTTAATTGTATTGAAATATCTGGAGGCCTCCAAATGTTTTAAAAAATAAACATAGTTTCCCGGGTTCTCTCTGGGCCAGTTCCAGGATAATTGAAAAATTAAAAAAATCAAATAATTTAAATAATTCAAATAAAAAACAATCTGGAGGCCTCCAAAAAATTTTCCCGGGTTCGCTCTGTGCCAGTTCCAGGATATTTAAAAAATTTAAAACAATTAAATAATTCAAAAATTTAAAAAATATAAATAGGTTCCTGGGTTCTCCCTGGGCCAGTTCCAGGATATTTAAAAAATTAAAATAATTTTAAAAAATCAATTAATTTAAATATTTATATTTTTTAATTTTCAATTTATGGAGGCCTCCAAAACTTGAAAATTTAAAAATATAAATAGTTTCCTGGGTTCTCCCTGGGCCAGTTCCAGGATATTGAAAAATTTAATAAAAAACAAATAATTAAAAAAAACAAATAATTTAGATATGTATTTTTTTCATTTTTTAAATTTCTGGAGGCCTCCAAAAATTTTTAAAAAATAGTGTCCTGGGTTCTCCCTGGGCCAGTTCGAGGATATTTAAAAGATTTAAAAAATTAATATAATTCAAAAAAATCAACTCATTTAAATATATATATATTTTTTTAAATTTCTGGAGGCCTCCAAAAAGTTATTTCTTTTAAACAAATAAATAGGTTCCTGGGTTCTCCCTGGGCCACTTCCAGGATAATTTGAAAAATTGAAAAACAATAAATTTTTCAAAAAAACAAATAATTTCAATATCTATATTTTTTATTTTCAATTTATGGAGGCCTCCAAAACTTGAAAATTTAAAAATATAAATAGTTTCCTGGGTTCTCCCTGGGCCAGTTCCAGGATATTTTGAAAAATTAAATAATTGTTAAAAAATCAAGTAATTTAAATATTTATGTTTTGTATTTTTTTAAAATTTTTGGAGGCCTCCAAAAATATAAAAAATAAGAAACAAACAAACATAGTTTCCTGGGTTCTCCCTGGGCCAGTTCCAGGATATTAAAAAAAAAACAAAAATCAATAAAATTAAAAAAAATAGTTTAAATATTTGCATTTTTTATTGTTTTTAATTTCTTGAGGCCTCCAAAATTTCAAAA